AAAAAAAAAAAAATACGAAGACTTTACAACATTTCACAACCGAACCGCTCAAACCAAAAAATTTTGATCTTTCTGAACAAAAAGAAAAAAAAAAAAAACGTGGAAGATCAAAAAATTGAAAGTGACAGCTAAATGAATCGTTTGCTTTTTTTTTTTTTTTTTTTTTTTTTCTATCACTTAAATCACTTAAAAATGGCAGAATATTTCTGCTGATAGATCAGTAAATTTTTTGAAGGAAAAAAAAAAATAACTTACAACAGCAGTAGTTTTGTTTGATGAACAGTAATGAAGATCGATGACTGTGTTTTAGAATGTTGCCAAATGCAGGTGCAAAATTATCAATGAAACAATAGTAATAAAACTGTCAAGCAAATAAATATGCTTTAAAAAAAAAAGCAGTAGGGTTAATCAAATAATGCCCCAAAAATTGTTATTTTTCTGAAAAAATTAATTGACTAAAGCAAATATAAAATATAAAAGCTGTAAAATTTGCAAAAAAAAAAAAAAAAGAGGAGTGCTCACTTTTTAAACAGACATCTCTTTTAAGGAACCAATTCAAGGGTTTTACTTTTCGCTGAATAATACAGATACATTTTTGATTAGATTATACAAATAAAGCTTTAATATCAATAAAGTAATTCCATTTAAAAAACGCTGAAGCTTAACATTGCTTTTACAAAGTGACGTTTCTTTTTTTTTTTTGTCTGAAAAAGCAGTGTTTTTTGATTGATAGCGATATGGTAAGCAAATATAATATGCATTTTAGTTTATTGAACAGACTTCTCCTTGACGTTTCTCAGAGCCAAATTTACATCAAGGATGATTTGTGACTTTTTTTTTTGATGGTATGCTGTTTGAAGAGGATTGCTTTGAACATTGTGGTTAGACAGATAAATTGAATTAGTAAGTGGCTTAGAAATGATGTATAACAAAAAAATGACAGCCCAATAAATTGGTAGCAAATAAGAGGAACATTCGATTCAAACGTTTCAAGTCTTGTTTTTTTTTTTTTTTTTTTTTTTTTTTTTTTTTTTTGAGTCTCTAACTTTATGTTTTCGTTCAGATTTGTTAAATTAAATATTTGCATGTTGTTTTTTAGCATTGAGAAAAATAGACGAGAAGCGGACAACTGATAATTTTTAAAGCTAATTAATCCTAAATAAACATTTTGATATAACTGCAAATGAAGCTACCAAACTTTTTGTGTTGAAATTTACTGTCTTCATAACAAATTTAACTCTGTTCTTACTTTATTAAGCCGAGAAAAGTAAGCTGACATTGTTCTTTTAAGAATTTTTAATGCTTTTATTCTAATATAGTTCTGCACACTAAGATATGCTTAACGCTTATACTAATCATATTTATCTTATTCATTTACAGGTTTCCACTGACAACTGTTCTATTATTCCGTTTTATCTTCTTCATTTTTCAAATTTAACATTCTGTTATTATAATCCAGTCTAAAAAAACTTTAGAAATTTGATTGCTTTCTTCAAATTCATTAATAAGTGTAGTTTTTTATTACTCTTTTTTACTGAACTTATAGTTTATGTCTCATTTAACCGAAGCATCACCGAATAATAATTGGAATGTTTTCAACAGCTTTTTTTTTTAGATTTCGTTATTTGATTGTTTTTCATCAAAGAACTCAATAATTTTTATAATCTATTGAATTCTCTTGAAGGGGAGGGGGGGGTGGGAAAGCTTTATTTTGAGAGGAAAATAACCAAATTCGGTGTCATAGCAAAGCTCAGACTAACTGTTGTTCGCTTCTTGACAGCCATTAACGTTCTGACTTCTTTTTTTTTAGCAATAATCAAATTTTTAGTTTTTTCTAACTACAACTTTCACTAAATAATTTGTCGAACAGTCTAACTAAAAATTTAGACAATAGTTTGTTAGATAATTTTAAAACTGAAAAAGAAAACGTCAAGTAAACTTTTGTTTTACCTATGTGTCGTTGACAACAAATACCTTTTGATCAGTCTGTTAAATTAACTTCGTAATCAACTTATCGATGTCAATTCATTATTAGGAGACCTTCCAGGATAATATTATTAACAGCAAAAGTTTTGAGCGTGAATATTGTACACAAGCGAAGAAAGAATAACGTCGAACTTTAGTCAAAAAAAAAAAAGACTGAAACTATTATAGAGCCTTGCTTGTTAAACAAGATTTTACTTTTATCTAAGCTTTAGTGTTTTTAGCAGAAAAAGAAAACTAGATCAAGTTATACAGCACTTTTTTTTCTCATTACTTGACAAAACTGTTTTGGACAAAATTTAATTTCAGTAAAAAAAAAATTAATTTTTTAAATTTTTAAATAAAAAAAATGTATTTTTTGCTTTTGTCTGCCGCAGATTCCTTTTTTTACTCTAAAACACAGAAGGGGTACGCAGCAACAAATCCTGTTCCAAATATCTATATTTTTCTCATCAATCTGATATGCCATTTGGTTTTACTTGTATTGCTGTAAATATTTCTTTTCACCATGTAATCCTTATTTTTTAATTCTCTTTCCCAGGTCAAAATTCCAAAAAAAAGGCTAAAAAACACGCATTCGTTTATCAGAAGAAAAAAAAGGTTATCTGACATTTGTTAGCTAAACAACAAGTACCGGTACCCCCTCAAAAAATTCATCACTTTTAGTTTTAACCCTTCCGCCAAAAGTTGATAAATCTTGAATATTTCCTATCAATGTTTGTGTGTGAGAACCATCAAAGAATTACAACGATCAAGGCTTTTCGAGATAACATATCGTTTACAGAGATTACGTTTACATTGTCTTATTCACGTATCCTCAGAAAGCAGTTTGTTCTTTATTCCTTTTTCGAATTTTCAAAGTAGTCTTCGCTCAGTTGATACGAAAGAGAGAGAGAAAAAAAAGAAAGGTGGTAATTATTTCAGGGTAACCTGTTTTTAGTCTATACGTTTCTCCAGTATATATTCCATTAAAATGAGCATTTGTTTTTGTTCTTTAAAAATACAGTCAGATGATTCGTTTCATATCCATTTTGCTTCTTAAAAATGATTGAATAATCATGAAGTGTGTTACTAGACAAAAAAAAAATACATTTCCTTTGAGCTATAGTAAGAAACTAACTAAGATTTAGCACTGAAAAAGTAGCTGTCTTTATTTTTCTAATAAACTGATTTAATCGTCACGCTATTTTTATTTTTGCCCTAAAAATCGAAAAACATTATCCAAATTTTGAAAGCTTTACCGATAGATCTGAAAAGACTCCGATCTATTTTCAACCAGAAAGTGTTTTTAAAAAGCATAAACGCCGCATGTTGCTACAGAAGTGCAAAATACCACAGCAGCCAAATTCAAAGTAACTTAATCAGTATGTTACACATGAATCCAGCACCGCTACCAAAGTGTATGAGCCTGAAGACCATTAATATAAGCTAACGTTCAGAGCCCAAAAAAGATGCAAAAATTCCCAGCATTCAGACATTTGGCCAATCATTATTCTAATTCTAACATTATCATCAACTAAAAATTACTGTATTAGCTCAGTGCAGAATACTTCTAAAAACTGTAAGATGTTAGTCAATACCATCGTCTCAGTAGCAACAAAACAAGCAACTACATCAATTTCAGAAGCCGAAGCAAGCGTGTTAAAAAGTTAAAAAACACGAATAATTATTTTTTCAGAGCTAAGTTCTAGCTAGTTTCTCATTATTTTTGCAAGCAATTTCTTTCGCTTGCTTCTTTTCCTGGTAGGTC